TTAAAACAAATACTAAAAAATCGTACATTTGGAAGAGTCTTTTTAAGCTATTAACCCACTTGCTCAGCATAGTTAAACTGTTATTACATTTTTTTAAAATAATTAGTCCAAATCTATCTTTCTATAACTTAAATCTATTATTCTCTCTGGAATAAGAGAGTGAGTGAAAAGCTCTTTACCTTCTAAATCTGTCGACTTTTTAGTATTTGTTTTAATATTAAAACAAAAAAAATATTTTTGCTGGAGATTAAACATATTCACCTCTTTCAGACTCCCTTAGTAGGATTCTTAAAAGGCAAATGCTCTTTCACAGTGACTGCAATTGGAGAAGGCAATTGAGTTATAAGGACAAAATCAGAGACCTGTGGTTATATTATACGTAGTTTCTGTCTCTTAAAATATCACATATTTTTGAAGAATATTCTCCACTTACTTTTTCGTAGGATTCTCTTATTACTCTTTCATATTCTGTTTTTTTTTGCCATGTCAATGGAATTATAATTTTTACAGACTTAAAGTAAAATCTTCGTTCCGTAGCATTGATGAGATAATTGGATGCTTCTTTAACCATATTCTAATAGGAACACAAAATACAAATATATTTACTTTGTTGTGGAGCTGTCAATAGTTACTGCCTAGGGTTCTGTACATTGCATTTATTTCATTCTACTTAGAACTCTCATGTGACCTGATATTTATTTTGGGGTTTCACAGGCAGTCTCAAAAAATCTGAAAGATCAGATGATTCTACTTATACCTCGACTTCCCAGAATCTGAAAATCACAAATTATGTTCTTGCATTTTTTTCTGTCCTTTCTTGACATTCAGGAAATAATCTCATCCGCTATATAGTATAGTATAGTCTTTATTGTCATTGTACAAAATAAATACAACAAATTTGGTTATTGAGAAATTATAAAGAAAAATTAAATGTTTTACCTTTAAATGTGAATAAGTTCCATTAAAAATAAAACCATGAAATAATTATGTATTCCTAAACTGTGAAATCATCTTGCTAAAGCTCACAATCTTAATATATCACTATTCTTCCATCTTTATTTGTATGAATTTTCCTCACTTTTTATCTCTTTCTGATGTAGTGAATTTTAATTCCCACAATCTCAGTGAACAGGTTCATTGGCTATCTATATATGTAAAAATGTCTCTCTGTGTGTGTTTTCCAGCATAACTCTGGAACGCCTCAAGCAATTTCAACCAAACTTGGTACACAGATTACTTACTCTCTGGAAACAAATACTGGGGAAGGGGGGGNAAAAAAAAATCCTAAATAGGTGATGTGAACACATTTACTGGGTTTCAAGGTTATTGTGTTTCATCTTTGTCCGTTAACATGGCATTTGGTAATGGTGAAAAGGGAGGAGAAAAAACAATATTTGATTAATCCTCCATGGACAGGAATAGTCTATCTGAAACATAGAAAATGTTTCCAGCCCTTGGCATTGAAAGCAATACAAGTGACCAAGATTTCTGTTCCTCAAAGTGTCCCTGTGCATGAGATAGAGCCATAGCAACAAGTTCATTTATTTGTATACTGCCTTTGTTAATTTTGGATATGTTCGCTGCCTTTGTTAATTTTAGAAAGGCAGTGAACATATCCAATTTACCTTCCTGCTCCTATTTTCCCCAGGAATTGGATAAGTCTAGTTTAATGAAAAGAAGGACTAGGAGCAGAGGTGGGTTCCTACCGATTCGGACTGGTTTGACCAAACCAGTAGTAACTTGGCAGCCTGGGTTGCTGTAACTGGCAGTGACCCAGGTTTACCATGCCCCCTAACTGGTTCTCTCAGTGGCACCATAGATGGCCCCATCTTGTTTTTGCCTTCTGCGCATGCACAGAGCAATTTTTGTTGCACTGTGCATGTGCATGCAGCACGCATGAAGCACGCACGCATCCATGAGCAAGCCAGCAGTAGCAGCATCCGGAACCCACCTCTGACTAGGAGTGATATGATTCCATTATTTAAGGGACTGTCACAAAGTACCTGAAGGCAGGACAAGAACAGTGGATGGACACTAATCAAGGAGAGCCAGCCTGGAATTAAGGACAAATTTATCTGGATTCTTAGTCTACTTGTAACTTTTCTTAATTCTCTTTTTCCTACTGATGTGGGGGAAAATGTCGTTAGACTTGTATTTAAAACATCTTTCACTAAGGATTGAAGGAAACTCACTCAGTCTTAGTAACAGAGGTTATTTAGACTTTGGTGCAGCATTTGACAGAGTAAACCACAGCCTAATGTCTTGGTAAGATAGAACATTGTGTGATAGATAATATCACCAATAGGTGGATTCACAACTGGCTAACCAACCACACTCACTGGCTCGTCCTCAATAGAACTACATTTACATGGAGGGAAGCATGCAGTGGGGTATCTCAAGATTCTGTCTTAATCCCAGTACTTTTCAACTTCTTGATAAATGATTCAAATGAACTCATCAAATTTGCAGGCAACACAAAGCTGGAGGGAATAACACTAACACTTTAGAGGATAGACTCTAGATTTAGGAGGACCTTAACAGGCTCGAACACTGGGCCCTATCCAACAAAATGCAATTCAGTGATGAGAAAACGGGTAAGAAAAAACAAAAGCACAGATATACAATAGGTGGTACATGGCTCAATAGTAGAAATTGTGAAGAGATCAAGGGGTCCTAGTAGACCACCACTTAAGTATGAGCCAGCAATGTGCTGCAGCTGCCAAAAAGGCCAATGTAGTCCTAGATTGCATGAACAGAGAGATAGTTTCAAGAATAAATGAAGTGATAGTACCGCTTTATACTGCATTGGTGAGACAACAATTAAAATACTGAATCCAATTCTGGTCACTACAATACAAAAAAAAGAGGGAGAGAGCACAACAGAGAAGAGCTACAAAGATGATAAGGAGTCTTAAGGCTAAACCATATAATGAATGATTGAAGGAACTAGGTATGCCTATTCTAACAAAGAGAAGAACTGAAGTTTGAAGTTTGAAGTTTTATTTTATTTATATGCCGCCCTATTC